CAGCCAGACAACAAATACATACGATTGGCAGGGTATAGAGCCGCCGATCGTATGTATATCAAACAGGCGGTAATGGTTGTAAAGAACGGGCGGGATTTTTCTGCCCGTGCGCTATGGGCGAGCAGAAAAAAAAGCCGTCTGAAGATGGCAACCTGCCAATGCGAGTCTGGCGTCCGTCCGTTTTTCACAACGAGCGGACGGCAGGAGGTTAATAGTTGTAAAATTCCTTTAAGTTATTTTTTACTATATATATGTTTTTATTAATCCTGGTGGAATTTTTTACTACTTAGTATCATATATTTTAGTTAAAATTAGGTACTATTTTTTAATATTCTCTTAATATTTTCTAATGATTGAATATAAGAGGTTTTATTAGCTTTTCCCAATTCCCTGTATTATTTCCTCTAATGTATATTGTTATTCTATATAGGAACAAAAGGGAGACCTCTAGGTTCTCTCTAGTATATAGGTTTCCATCTGTGTATACATTTATGTGCTGTTTGTATTGTATGTTGAAGTAAAAGTGAGACATCTAGTGGTGACTGTTGTAGATGCACCATTATGCCTGCTATAAATAAAATGTAATAGTGTAGCCAGATAGACCTGATGTTCCCCCTGAAGACGTCTCTGATGACGAAACGCGTCGGGGCAGGTCCATCTGACGCTACACTGGATGCAGAAGTGCAGGCTGTTTGTTTCCTGAGTTTACCGGCCGGTTGTTGCTCACGATTGATGTGAGTTTTTTTAAAATTTACCCAATAAACTTATTTCGATGTACTACGCAATGAGAGGCTCTTTTTTCTTATAATTGCGGGGACTTCATTTCCTATGGGACATCGTTGTGGAAACACACAAAGAAAGCGCTGGGCAGCCTGATGACATTCAAATGACCTTTCTCCATTATTACCATACAGGTCATGTAGAGGGATGGGAACTAGACAGATCACTATGAAGGAGCTAGTTCCCATCCTGCTAAATTACCTTTCTCCATTATTACCATACAGGTCATGTAGAGGGATGGGAACTAGACAGATCACTATGAAGGAGCTAGTTCCCATCCTGCTAAATGACCTTACTTCATTATTACCATACAGGTCATATAGAGGGATGGGAACTAGACAGATCACTATGAAAGAGCTAGTTCCCATCCTGCTAAATGACCTTTTGCAACCGACCGAAAAAAATAAAAAATACGAATAGGATATTTATTTATTTTTTTGGCGGACGGTTGATACTTTAAAAAGTGGTCGGTTGCTTCGTGCACACTAACAATTTTGTTAGGCATGAAATTTATTTAGTTGCTATGGTGAGCATTGACTAGTTAAAATCTCAAAAGCCTATAGCAGGCTGGCTTTTGAAACCCCGCCCACCAAGCAGAGGATCGTACCGGAGAGAGAGAACTTTCTCTGGGCCGCGCCTCTGTTCAGTGGGCGGAATAGCCACCTGGCTATTGCAATTTGGAAAAATAGAGGGAAAAAAGGGTTTGTGGAGAGATGAGTATGACCCATGCATATGTAAAAGTTATATCAAAATGTATTAAATATAAAATACAGTCTCAGGCCGATTGTTTCTAAATATATATAAACATAGTAAAAGCCATAATCATCAAATATACAAAATCCAAATACATAACTGGCATGATAGTCCCAATGGTCATTATTATTTGAAATTACATGATCCAATTGTATATAAAACACATGATTGTCCCGATGATCCCAACGCATTTCACAAAATTAGCTTCTTCAGGGGACCGATATTTAACATTCATGCATCAGCAGTGCCTGAGATAAAAAAAACGAATATCAGGAGGGGCAAGATGATCAGGTGGTTAGAGCATATCCAACCACCCCACTCCGTCCCTTTTCCCGCCTGGGACCTCGGGGCATTAAGGGGAGGAAAGCCTGGGAAACTTCACGAAAGCCCAGCCTGCCCTGCTGGGATGTTTCTATAGAGGCATTTATTAAGGAGTGGCCTCAATCCTGTAGCGTAGTAATCCTAATCACGCAACCTATTGGATGTCTATATGTTTTTATATAGACATGGGGATGAATGTGATTTTTCAACCTGGGACCTCTGGACTCATTCTTCTTATTCCCTTGGCCCGTATCGGCGAGCTGTCCGCTATGGCCGCAGCTTCACCGCTCCTATATCAGAACAAGGGGCGGACCTAGGAGACAGCTTCCCTGGTATCCTAGGTAGCGGCGGGCAGGGCTGGAGAGGCCGGTGTGTGCTGTTCAGCGCATGCGTGGTTTGATATCCACACCGCCGAATGATGACCAGAATTCTGACCTCCGGTTGTTTCGTTTGGTGGTGGGGGCTATATAA